CGTCCCCTACTGGGGATGAGCCCTGACCGGAATCGAACCATGACCTCTTGGTTCCTAGGTCGGCGCTCAACCACTGAGCCACATCAACCAGACTCTAAGGTCAATTGTTAAAAAGCATGTCCTCGGGTGAGGATTAAAAAAAAAAAGTAGGAGGAAGTATGCAGATTCTGGATCATGAGAAGTGAAGTCAGCAGGACTGACAGTGGATCAGATGTGGGTGTAAGGTCAGAGAGGAGTCACGGACAACTGAGGCTGGGTCCTGAGCTGCCATTAGAGTCGGGAAAGTTGGGGGGAGTCGGGAGCCTGGAGGCAGGTGTCACAGGTGTAGAGAGGAGGGGCCAGATTTGTGCTGGGAACGGACATTTGCGAGTCGTCAGGTTTGAGGTGGTGGCTAAAGACCTGGGTGACTCAGGGGCCCAGTGCAGTCGGGAAAACAAGGGTCAGTGTCCCAGGCTCACTTTCCAAGGGAGAAAGGAGTGGGAGGCATTGTTGCTGACGGGGTGGGGTGTCCAGCGTGAGGGCATGAGCTGGGATGCAAGAGCCCCTGAGGTCTTGAGGGAGACGGGACCCCAGGCGTGTGGCTCCTTTGACCTCAGGTGTCAAGTCCCCCATCACTAAGCAGACAGGGCCATGGCCAGGCCTCCCCCCCAAGCCCCAGTGGCCACAACCACGGTGACTCCTCAAGAGATATTTGTTGAGTGAACAGTGAGGTGTTTCTGCGACTCGGTGGTGGTTCTGACGGGACCTCTCTCCCCCTTTCTTCGAAATGGGTCTTCCCCTCACACCTGTCGCCTGACCCTCCCCAGGTGTCCTATGCCAGACCCAGCTCGGCATCCATCCGGGATGCCAACCTGTACGTCAGCGGGCTCCCCAAGACCATGAGCCAGAAGGAAATGGAGCAGCTCTTCTCCCAATACGGTCGAATCATCACTTCCCGGATCCTGGTGGACCAGGTCACAGGTCAGGCCGCCGGGGAGGGTGCACCTGGTGAGGGCGCTGGGTGGAGGCACCAAGGCGAGACCAAAACAGAGAAATGGGGAATGGCAGGGCGGGAATCGGGAGCAGGAGGGGCTCGCAGCGGAGGAGGCTGGGTCCTCGTGACACCCTGGCTCCCTGCAGGTGTGTCTCGGGGTGTGGGGTTCATCCGCTTTGACAAGAGGATTGAGGCCGAGGAGGCCATCAAAGGACTGAATGGGCAGAAGCCACTGGGTGCAGCCGAGCCCATCACGGTCAAGTTTGCCAACAACCCAAGTCAGAAGACGGGGCAGGCCCTGCTCACGCACCTTTACCAGTCATCGGCCCGGCGCTATGCAGGCCCCCTGCACCATCAGACACAACGCTTCCGGTGAGCCCCCCATCACCCCCAGTCCTGGGCACCCCAGACCCCCAGGCCTGCAGGGCGAGGGACAGTAGCACAGGCCCACATGCTGGGGCTACTGAGGGCAGCAAAAGGGCAGCGTGGGGACCTGCAGGTGTGAGGCCAGGCCCTTCCATGCAGCAGGTGCTCAGCGAGCGCAGGTTTAGAATCACCTGGTCAGGTCCAGCTCTAGCTGCCCCCTCTGGCACGGGACTCCCACTGTCTGCCTCCGTTTCCTCATGCACGTTCCATGAGTGTGTACTGCGGGCCAGGCACACGCCTTTGTCCGGCGCAGCAACCCCGTGAGAATGCAGCCTGTCTTGTCCCGGGCGATGGATGGGGGCCCTGAAGCTCAGAGAGGCATGGTCCCTGCCCAGCCCAGCCATTGTGGTGAAGGGATCAAACCTTCACGTCTGGGGACCTGAGCCCTACAGGGTGTGGCGGGCGGCGGGAGAGGGAGGGTGAGGATGTGGCAGGGCAGGCAAGAGGCGGTGCCGGAGTGACCACGGTCCGTGCCAGGCGGTGTCCAGCCGGGCAGGCGGCGGGGGCAGGGCTGGCACTGTTGGCCTGCGGGGTGGGGGCAGGGAGGGCAGGCTGGCTGGCCTGCATCACAGTCGGGGACGCGCCTGGAGGCCACCGTGACCACCCCTTCTGCTCCACAGGCTGGACAACTTACTCAACATGGCCTACGGAGTCAAGAGGTAACAGTGCCCCCACCCCACTGCCCCCAGCCCCTCGCGGTCCCTTCTCGGACCCTTGCCCTGATGGACACCTCTCCACCTCCCCCCAAGGACTGCCAGCTTAGCCATGTCTGCACTGTCGGGGGTAGCGTGCCCATTAGGGGATGTGGGGGCTGTGGAGCCCAGCAAATGCCCACAGAGAGCTGCTATAGCATTTGGGCCCAGGGCCCTCTCCAGCCCAGTGAGGGGTGGGCAGTGCTGCCCGGGTCACAGCCACGGCCCCTGGTGCCCATGTCCAGCGGGAGTTCCACCTGCACTGTTGGTGGTCCTTGCTGAGGGTCACATCTGCCCCTTCTGCCCTGTGGTCGAGGAGGGCCCCCAAGGCCCCCATGACATTGTCCACATCCCTGACCCTCAGCATCATGAGCTGCTGAGCGCACGCTGAGGACTGGCCCTGGCTGGCGGCTGGGTCCCGGTGGGGCCCAGCCAGGCTTGGTCCCCGTGGAGATGAAATGATAGTGAGCACAGTGCTTGGCACACAGTGAGCGCTCAATAAAGTTAGCTGCGCTGAAGGTCATTGTTACTGTTATTGATTATCTCAGTCTAGTGGGAAAGGAGACAGTGACCAGGGAGGAGGAGTGGGCAGACGGGGTGATGGGACCCAGAGGGGCCCCAGCCATCGGAGGCAATAGAGGGGAAGCCGAGGTCCTGGCAGCAGGAATGGCCTGGGCGAGGCCTGGGCGAGAGTGAGCGGTTAGTTCCAAAAGCTCAGATTGGATGGCTCAGGCTCCGGCCCCGCCTGGTCCAGTGGAGCCAGGTGCCCACTGTGTACCAGGCCCTGTTCTGGGCGGGGGCCCCACAGAAAACACAACCTTTTAGGGAAGAGGGAGCCGATAGCAAATACACAGTTTACCCAGGAAACGGCGGGAGCGGGACGGGGAGCAGGTGGCCTCCTTATGGTTCGGAGGAGGCTCCGAAGGAGGTGACGGTGTGCTTCGCTTTACGAGGCAGGCGCCTAAATGGCCACATCACACCTGGGCTCCCAGCGCTGCCCTTCTGGGCGGCCAGCAGGACACATGGGACAACGTGGCAGGGTCAGGATGGGGTCAGAGAGGGAGCCAGGGCAGGAGCTGGGTGGGAAGATGTGGCCAGGGGTGTGGGGAAGTAGTCAGGGTCAACAGAGCCAAGGACCAAGTAGGACCAGAGGTCATGGGGTCAGGATTCGTTCAGGGCTCAGGGCAGGACCAGAGGTTAGGAGAAGGGACAGGTCAGGGTGAAGACTGGGGGGTGGGGTTGAAGGTGGGATGACAGATGGAGGTCACAGCAGGGTCAGGACAATGCAGGGCTCACAAGAGTCCCACGGTCAAGGCCCCATCAGAGGTCATGGCAGTATCAGAGGTCACGGGTCGGGGGCATGCCGGGGGTCAGGGCAGAGCCCGCGTGACCCCCAAAGTAGTCCCCTGTCGCTCATCGCCAGGTTCTCGCCCATCGCCATCGACGGCATGAGCGGCCTGGCGGGCGTGGGCCTGTCGGGGGGTGCCACGGGCGCCGGCTGGTGCATCTTCGTGTACAACCTGTCCCCGGAGGCGGACGAGAGCGTGCTGTGGCAGCTGTTCGGGCCCTTCGGGGCGGTCACCAACGTCAAGGTCATCCGCGACTTCACCACCAACAAGTGTAAGGGCTTCGGCTTCGTCACCATGACCAACTATGACGAGGCGGCCATGGCCATCGCCAGCCTCAATGGCTACCGCCTGGGCGAGCGTGTGCTGCAGGTGTCCTTCAAGACCAGCAAACAGCACAAGGCCTGAGCCACCGCCGCCCTCCCCACCTCCCCGGGCAGCAGAGAGAGAGAGAGAGAGAGAGAGATTGAGAGAGAGAGAGAGATTGAGAGAGAGAGAGAGGGAGAAGGGGCCCGAGAGAGACAGCGCAGGCAGACCACGGACGGCACGAGGCCCCACACCCCTGCGAAGCCACAGGGTGAGCACTCGGGCTGGGAGGGTCTGCAGGGAATGGGGGTGCCTGGGGTCCCCCACCCCGTCCTCCTGCCCCTACCCCAGGCTGGGCTGTTCACTCTCTCGTCTTGGTTTTGTTCATGGAGATGGTTTTTGTTTCTTTTTTCGGCTGAAAAGAAAGCAGAGATGTGCCCCCACCCAACCGCCAACCAGCTGCACAGGATGGTTTGGGGCGGGTGCTGGGTGCCCTCCAGGCCTCCCCACGCTGAGGTGAGCCTGAGGGGGCGAGGAGACAGGTTTAAAAATCCCCAACAAAGCGAAACATGAGGGGTGTGGGCATCCTGGCCCCCTCGGTGCATTGTGAGGAGCAGGGTGAGGGGCTGGAGACAAACAAAACGGAAAAAAAAGGGGGGTGGGAGGGAGGGGGAGAAAAACTCTATTTTTGTAAAAAGGGGAAAAAGACCTCGTGGAGAATTTTTACTGGGGATTCTTGAACTTGAAAAAAAAACACAAAAAAAAGACAAAAAAAAAAAAGAAAATATTTTGACAGGTTATGTTTACCAACTGGGCAAAGACGGGAAGCAGGGCTTGGGGCCGGGGCCCAGGGGCCGCACAGAGACACACGCCCCCCAGGAACACACCGCACTGACAGACGCGACCACCCTGACACACAGGAACTGGCCAAACAGACACGGAGACGCACACAGACTGGAGTGGGAGCCACGTGAACGTGGAGTGATCAGACGTGGACGTGGACAAACGTGTCACAGGCAGACGTGGACAGAGGTGACCGTGGACAGCGGACGTGCAAATATGTCCACGCGCTCACGTGAAGACGTGAAAGTGGAGACATACATTTGGAGACACAAATCCAGACACCCAGTCACAGACACAACACCCAGGAACACACAGACACGCCCACAGTTCCCTCGGACCCAGGCGCCCAGCCCTCCCGGCACCCAGCCCCACTCGCCCTGCCCCAGGGTCTCTGCAGAGCTCTCTTCTGGCTCATCAGTGGTCCGTGCCGCCCGTGAACACAGGCGTGCACACAGCGTCCTGCATCCAGACACACGATACCTCGTTCACTTTTGGCATCATGGTGGGCTGGAGGCAGCACCCCCCAATACTTGAGGCCAAAGGACCCCTTGTCCCTGGGGCTGAGCCGTCTCTGGGGCTGAGCCTCCCCCCGGCCCAGGCCCTGGCCCATGAGGCCAAGGGCGAGGCCAGGCCCTGAGCCTCCCCCGACCCAGGGCCTCCCGGTCAGGCCCAGGGGCCCAGCCCCGCTTTTCCTCCCCATCCACTCGTCACCCCTTTTAGTTTGTTGGGGTTTTCCATCTTTCCGATGAGTGAGGGCGGTGGACACAGCTCCCATCCCAAGCCCCAGCCCTGGCTTCTGTCTGGACTTTCCATCCCCCTAGTTTTCATTCTTTGTAACGAAAAATTCCAACAGAAGCCCAAGGCGGGAGCCCCTGGGAGCCCCTGCAGCCCCCACCCCTCGCAGTGGGCCCCGTCAGAACTGAAAATTGCAAACCCCGATTTTAGATTCAGTTGACCTTTCTCCGGTGTCCTGCTTTGGTGTCTGGCCATGGCCCCATCTGACTGCCCAGCTCTCTCTCCCCACCCGCCCTGGTGTTTGTTATTAAACGTCTGTGGAGCTTCTGCTGCAAGGAACAAAAAGAAAAAATTTAAAAAGCAACAAAAAAATACAAACAGAAGAGAAAAACAAACAAAAAAAAAGAAGAAAAAAAAAAACACTGAAGAGATTTAAAAAAAGAAAAAAAAAAGACATAAACTGGCACCAGTTAACTTTCTTGTACTTTTTTGCCGAATTTAGCTTCTTGTAGTTTTAACTTATTGCTATGTTAACTATTTATTCTTGTTGCCCTGTAAGAACATTTGTGTATATTTCTGTTCCTTCATCCAGTTTGCAAGTTTAAAGGAACCACGATGTTCTCTTTGTTTCTTTAAGTTTTGCTGAGACGTGGTTATGCCTAATTTATTTATAAAGGGGAAGTGGAATCATTAAAGTAATAATTATTAATAACAGGAACGGTAGCCGGTGGCAGCGGGGCGTGTGCGCTCTCCGGGGCGGCCCCCACCTGGCCAGCGACGTCCGGTCTCAATGGGATTCTTTTTGCTCGTCTTGAGAATTTTTTCAGTCCTATTTAGCTGGTGAAAACCCTAGCTTGTTCTTGGTACACGAACCTATTTATTCTTGTGGTTTTAAGTCCTGATCTCCCTGCTCCCCTCCAGCAGGGCAGGCCCCCCGCGGGTCCCTCCCTCTCCCTCTGTTTCTTGGGGCTTTCTCCCCTCTGCCCTCCCTGCACGCAGGGACACGTGTGCACACGTGGGCAGCGTGCCGGGGGCATCCGTGAGCAATAAGGGCTGGGTTTGTCCCCCACCTGGGGGTGCTGGGTTCTGGAGAGGGCACCTCCCCACACAAACCCCCCCCACCGAGGCCTAGGCCCCTGCTACCCCCAGACTGGGAGTGCACTTCTTTTTCTAAAACACAGAACTCAGCCCAGCCAGCCAGCCCCTACCAGGAGGCCGGCCCAGGGGAGGGGCCTGGGGTCTTCCATGTCCCTGGGGGGCAGGGGCAGGGCCCTTGGGGAGGGGCTCAGCCCCGCAAGCCCTCCCTTCATCCTGTTATTTATTCGGAAGGTTTCACATCATGACAGTCCGTATGTTGGAGATGATAAAGAACTGCGAAATAAAAAAAAAAAAGACAAAAAAACTTTGCGTTGCATTTTAGACTATTTATTACCGGATTACAGGCCTGGCCGCGGTAACAGACTTTTTACATGGAATTGTTTAATTATTTGTACTTTTCATGCCAGAAAATAAAAGTTCAGAATCTTACAGCCTTGGCTGGGTGTCTGTGTGCCGGTGGGCCGGGAACGTTGTGTGCGGTTGGCCCTGGCTGGGTGCCTGGGTCTCATCCTCAGCTCCTTGGGCCGAACCCAAGCAGACACCTCCGGAGGTCGGGCGAATGG